CCTTGCGCTTCGTATCCATTAGAGGGAACTCTTCTTCGCGCAAGGTTTCTGGTTCCAAGCTGTCCAGGTCTCGGTCACTGACGGAATCTGTTGAGTCTCATCGTGCTGAAGCTATAGAAGATTGCATCGAGTTCTTGAATTCTTCTTCATCTTTGTCGAGATCAAACTCGGTTTCTACATGTTCTTGCTAGGAGATTTGAGTAAAACAACTGAAAATCAAAGGGGAAACAAAAGGGATTCGTTTAGTTTCCAACATTAGATGTAGTGAAACACATGCATATCCATTCATTAGATGATTGAGAAATCATAAACAAATTTGCGACCGTAAATTTTCATGAAAATGAACCATTCAAGAATAGAATTCCTTCCCACTCCATGTCCCTATATATGCCCCACCACTTCTGATATATTAACAAATTAAGGAAGTCCATTTCTTTCTTTTCATTTAATTTTACTCTCTTCCAATAGAACATTAACATTAGTTTAGTATTAGTTTTTAAAATTTTCAATAATATTCCGTTAATGTTAGAGAATTTAATTTATTTAATTTAAACCCTAAATCCTATAAACCTTAAACTCTAAACCCTAGACCTTAAATCTTAAACCTTAAACACCTAATCCCAAACTCCAATAAATTATAAACCTCATTTATTACAGTTATTTGAATCTAAACATTGTTCAATAAATTCTTATAGTTTCATAACATGAATAACTCTTAGAATATACCATGGGTTTAGTTCAATGATAATTCCTTACAAAATACAATTGATCATTGTTTGAAACAAAGACTGACTCATAGTTTGAGGGACAGATGGCATTATGAGAGGACACTACTTTTTTTTCTTCATGGAAATCAAGAACGGTAATCATTGTTTCTCCTTTAAAAACACCATTTTCTTAAGAATCCGAAGAAGGCTTTTCAAGGTCTCGGTCTCGGATGCCATGACTGGAAGCTTTCTTCATTTCGAGAGCTCTCTTATAGGGAGGAGCAATGGGGTGGGGGCTGGACAGGATCCAAACTCTGGTAAGTTCTATCAGCGACTTTCGGCAGTGGATATGAACGATCAGAGTCATATCCACTTAGTCCTTACAAGCTAAAAATGGTATATAAACCTTATTCGGCCCCTCTAACCATCCACTACTGCAATCTGACAACTGGATAAAGGAAACTGAATTCTGTTCACAAAATCTCAAGTAGGGAACGAGATTCTTAGTAACTATGATGTCCACTTACCTAGATCATCAACACCTGAGGGACTGCCCACCATATCCAAGAGGCGATGCAAGTCTTTTGGATTGAATCCTTCAGGAGGTGAATAATTCTCACAAGCTGCAAATGCCTCTGTAATAGAAATAAGACTTGTTTTAGCCACTTTCTGGTTAACGTCAAGTTGTTTAGAAATTGTTATGAATCAATAAATCCAAAGGGGGAAACGAAAGGAAGTAAACACTAGATATAGCGTGTAATGTATAGCTGCCCCAGCTTAAACATGGCAATATAAAGCATTTCACAGGTTCCCATTGGAATGAACGAGCCAATGGCTAAAGGAGAAAAACTATGTTGCTCCGCAACAATTTAATAAAAATGTATGAAAGAAAAGGTTAGAAGATTATAAAGATAATACAACCATTATATATGTATGTGTATATATATATTTGAAAAGTAAAAAAGGTGAGTTGCCATCGATACTACATGTATTTCTATGCATGTTACCCTTACCTATGCTAGAGTTTCTGCTGCTTTTTGGTTTTGCAAAAGTCACTACGGGGAAAAATAATTCAGCTGCAATGAAGAAGCAAAAAAGGATTGGGTTATTGTAATAAGCTTTATATCTTACATACTTAGATACTACAATTGAGAGTTTTTAGAATTAACTTACCTGGCAGTACAGAAGACTTGTATCTTTTCCACGAAATATTTTTGCAATAAATTTTCCACCTTGTTATACGAGTAACAATTGTTAAACCCTGGATTAAAAAACAAAATCATGTACACCGGCTGGCAAATTTGGTGAAAAAAAGGAAAGGAAGAATAAGATGCAAAATACAGTAGAACTATGTTATTTAAGTTTCATAAACGGCAGGATTTGATAAAACCTGGTCGGCAAATTTTCCATCTCCAAGGAAAACCGATTTGATCCCCTATCAGAAGGCTTTTTGCTAATGAATCGGTACTCAGCATCATTCCATTCTAGATTTCTTTCTCAATCAAAGCTTCGATTTCTAAATTCTCATAGGGAACCTGGAATTCCTTCCAGGGATTGTTGAATTATTTTTATGGATTCCATCATTCACTGATTCGAACTAAATAATACATTATCTCAATTCCATCCATGCACACCAAATGCCCAGAATTATTCAAAAACTGAGTTTCACGTTATAGAAGCAGATCAACATAAGAGGAATTAGAACACTTACTGCAAGTATGGGTTGGGACTGAACAAATTCATCCATTTCATGAAGACAGGAACTGAAAATCCAGAGAGAATAAAACAAGCTTAAGAAGCTTAAGGGGGGGAAAAAGTAACAGCTACAATGTTGTAGACCATAGGCTAGGTTAGAAACTGTAAATATTGTTTTACCATCAGGAGCACCATCACACACAAGGTCAGCCTCACAGCCATCAAAATGTCTAATTACCTGCAAATGACTTGAATAAAAAAGAAAAGATATCGATGGCACATACACTAGCTCAATGAACAACATAAGGTAAAACAAATTAAACCATAGCTCCAAAACGTAAATCATGTACATCCACCATTCACATTTTCTAACACCCTCATGATGATAGGAACAAGCACATACATCACAGATTATAAAAATGGATCAAGGATTCCATTTTTCATGTAACTATCAACAGAATATTGGACCTATGTGGAAAGCTAATAATTAAGATTCAACATCAAAACAACATGCAAACATTCCACTGAAGCAAAGAATATTGCCTATAATCATTGGCTCTCGGTCCCAAAGTACTTTTGGCTTTCAGGGAATCTCCTAATGTGACTATCCAAAACTTCTTATTATCATAAACTAGAAGACAGATTAAAAACAATTCAATTAAAAAAAATGAAATCCTCACCATTTCAGCAGTCCGGGCATTAGTTATATCGCCCTGCACTTGGATTACACCTTCAATTGGAGCCATTGGCTGCAAATCGATGGCGACAATAAGAGGAAGCTCACCATCCCTGCAAATTATGAAAAAGTTCAAGGAAAATGGTACCAGCAAATAAATTTTTTTATGCAAAAAGAATGAGCAGGCAAGACCAAACTACAAGGTGTATGCTTTGGCATATCTCCTTAATCCTAGGCAAAGAAATGGACTCCGAACGCATGAACTATGCAAATGAATACCAACAAAAAAAAAAAAAGCAGAAAAAGAACTTACTTTGAAGCAGGCGACTGCTTAGCGGGAAGATACAATTTGCGGCTCAAAACCAGACTCCAGCTACCTGGGGCAGCACATAGATCTACCACGCGCTTTACTCCTACAAATCAGATCAAATCAAATCAGAATCAAACCAATGGATAGAAATGTATGAATGTATATACACATATTTGAGAAACTGACCTTGAAAGCTGTTGAATTCTTCGTCAATCTGAAAAAGCTTAAAAGCACTTCGAGCACGCCAACCTTCTTCTTTCGCTTTCCTATAGTAAATATCCTGAAGATCAAACAGTTTACCCTTGTTATATAAGTTGCAAAATCACCCAAAATTCCAACAAAGATATTAAAATCCCCCCAAAAACACTCACCCTCTAATCCCTGGAAGCTTTTCCCGTTATTTTCCAATCTAAGTGCACGGAGGAGTATGGGGGTTTCTAAGCTGTAGCTTTAAAACCCTACCGCCGAGGTCGAGGGCTTTACAGTAAAACGGGGTTACCGCCTAACCGGACAATCAAGAAGAAAACTGGGGCTGAACGCAAAAGGCGAAAACTACGTACCCAAAAGAAGATAATTGGGCCGTGAAAGAAAAATGATCCAATGGACTTCGTTTTCTTCAATCTCTTCCATTTCTTCTTGTGGTAATTTTAAATAAATGCTTCAACCCCTGGAAACAGAAACAAAATACCAAACAGAAAAATCACTTTACAACTCTCAGTTTGATTTAAGTAATATGAAAAGATCTGATATTGAGGCAGAGTGTCCTTAAATGCTAGTACAAATTTGACGGGCCTCATTTATGTACTTTTCTTCTTCTCTTTTCTTAATAATCTATAATCAATTATTGAAAAATATAATTCTAGAGAAAATTCATGTATATTTAACCTTGAATCAAATTATATATTAAACAATAACCCTTTTATGTAATTGTAACAGCTAACCAGTATTTTTTACAGTTATACATTTTCCAACGATTAGCAGCAAACTTTCTGATTTTTACCGAGACAAATATACAGAAAGATGTTGAGTTCATGCAATTAAAGAGAGCGAATTTAAGAGCTGCAGCAGATGTGGGACTGCTCGACAGTGTAGCTAACATAAGCACGCCAGCGTTGTGAGTAACTGCAACTTCAATTCTCTCTCTGTCATAGCCACGTTACGTTCATTATTAATGCATGAATATGTATATAATTTGATCTATGAGGCCAATCCAGCTGTTTCTATTCAATGGTGTGGAAATAGGGATTGGTCCTCATTTGTTAGGAATGGACCACTCAAATTTAGGTCAACCCAATGAATTGTCTAGTATTTTTCTCTGCCTTTATATCGTTATGTAAATTCTGAATGAATTTAAATCATATCATTTGTGAGCTAATTTTGGAGACATTCATGGTACAGAGCTACACAACAAGTCAGCAGTTGCATGTCCTGCAATTTCACCAAATTGTTGCTTGTTATTCCTTGACATTTGAGTCAGAAAAATTCTTGGGTGAACAAGAAAATGAAATCAGAGAAGAACGAAGAAGATGCAGAAAGATAGGCACTGGCCACATTAAAGATTTGTTTGTATAAAAAATAGTACCAAAATATACATGGTTGTTATTTCCCCTCATAATTAGCATTACAATCTATTTTTATTTGTAAGACAGTTTTTAATACAATGCAAAACAATAGCCAAACTAATGTAAATTATCTTCTTTTTTTGATTAAGCCTTTTCCTTTTCCTGATCTTTTTCCTTCTTGGATGGAACCCGACCGTCGGTTCCCGCAAGCATAGCGTACTTGTCTTTCCTAGTCAAGTTCGTGCACTCGAATCCTAATGTTCCGGCGAGCACCCTTTGGATGTAGTTTGCAACTTCAATGGCTGATTTTCCACCTTTGCAAGTGAGTTCTGTAGGCAGCTGGTTCAAGAAGGTGATCTCGTAAGTAGGCATCGGGTTCATGAACACGAAATAAGGATCCAACATCTTGTGACCCCTGACCGTTGTCCCGTGGAAGACTGATTGTTTCGTGTTGATTGCGACCGGTACAATTCTGTCGGTGAGTTCAGCAAACAGAGCACTGAATCTTAGCAGGAAAGGTTCCCTGCAAGTTGTCCCTTCGGGACATAAAACCAAATCACCTTCCTCGAGAATGCGCTTGATGTTGGCCGCATCTTTCTCTCTTTCCCTCGATAACGCAACAGCCCGAATTGGCGAAATGATCTCAGTGAATTTGCTAATGCTGTAAGTAACACAACTGATTTTTCGGCCTAAGGCAACCGCTGTCACAACAGGGTCCAACACCGTTCTATGGTTACAAACAAAGAGGACTCCACTCTGGCCTTTCCCGGGTGGTGGTGGTGGTGTACCCTTAACAATCAATTTGATCCCTAAGAGCTTGTAATTGTACCGAGCAATTCGCTCCGGCAGCGGGATGTTGGTGTAAACCCGGAGTAGGGAGAGGATGAAGCCTATGGGAAGCCATAGGAAGGTCAAGAGGGCAGCCAATGGTGTAGGCCTTTGGACAAGGCGACCTTCATGGAATATAACAGGGCTTGGAAGCTTGTTCCTTGGTAATGGATCACATTTGGTTCTTGGCACCATGTATCCTTCCTGCACATACCAACAAGAATCAATGTAAAAATTCGAAGCATATGGTAATTTTTCTTCTTTTTATTACAAAACATAGTTAATTCAAGTAGGGTTACTATATTTATGGGCTACATGTTACTTTCATGTAAGACTTTCCATGCAAGCAACAACACCAAATTTAAGAAAATAAATAAATAAAATCCATTCAACATCACGAGAATCTTGATCTGTATAAAAACTAGAGGTGCAAAAGAGTGGTTAGGGCACGAAAAAGTTGTGTTAATAAGTATGAAATTAAAAATAAGGTTTATGACGGTCCCTCCAAATAATATTGTGTTCAAAGTTTTTTTTTCCCTCAAAGTCTTTAGGGTAATTATAAGATATCATTTATAATATACATTATGTAAACATAATTATTTAAATCCAAAATTTATAGGGAAAACAATACTCCCCTTAATCACTAGGTTGCCTTATGGATACTCTTTTTAAAATTATTAAACATTTTTATAGGTGTAATCATTAAAATTATGAGTAGGAAACTTGTGGACCATTGAAATATAAATTTTGTAATAGAAAAAAGGCAAAAGCAATTTAATGCAGGGGAGAGACAAAGGAGACATATCAAGCAAATCAGTATTAAATCATAAACGCTATCACCAACCATATTGCAAGACCAAACATAATCTTATGTTTAAGGAATCTGTATTAGAACCTGTATTAAGGTAAGCAACAATTTGTAAAGTTCAATCATGGATTCATGGCAGTACTTAAAGGAAAGGGATGAACCTTGCATAATGACATGAAATCATGGTCAGTTTCTCGGTCTCCCAGGCCCAAATCCAAATCCGGCAACTTGGAGCCGAATTCTTTTAAGACGGCAGCACTTTTGTGTTCTCCGACCAGAACACCGGGTTTAACGGCAAAACCGGTCGCCCTGCCCGATTTCGTCACCTGCAGCTCGGTTCCAATAACCTTGTCAGCTCCTAAAAATGTCTTGGCAAAAGGTTCCACCATGATCCTAGGATTTGCTGTGACAATGTATCTTTTCCCAAAGGAGCTGTAAACTCTCCATGTCTCTGGATGAACATCCTCCGAATAAAACTTGGGCAAGACCGACCTCGAGACGAGCTCGATGTCTCGAATTTTCAGCCCGGCAAAGGCGATGAAAATGAAGGTACTAATGGCCACGGATTCGGAGATGAACAAGTAGGTAAAGTACACGAATGGAACGGATGTCAAGAGTACAAGTGCTCTAACAAAGCTACCGGCCTCGAGTGCAACCAGCATGAAATAAGGGAAAGCACTTCGTGATACGAGAAGGGTTCCGTCTAAATCCGCAGCCACCGTCTGATTCGATCTACCCTCGCTGCTACATTTCGAGATCGGATCGAAACGACGGTGAGCCCCCATGATTATGGAAGAGCTAAGAAACTTTTATGGTTAGTTGTGAAGAGAAGGAGAAAGATGGCAAATGGGGATTCGATAATGATCTTGTTGAAGCTATTTGTTAGGCTTTATATAGCATGAAAAATTATATAAATGTAGTTGAGACTTTGATGGAAAAGGAAAGGCAATAATTTCTAATTAAAATAACCTATTAGTTTAAACAGTGATTGACATATTCCATATCATAATCTTGAGGTCGGAGTAGTTGGAAGTCAGATACCGATATATCTACAATTTCATTCAATGAGCCTTTTTTTTAGTTCATGGACGCCGCCCACAGCCGCTTCACCGAAGCTTCACTTTCGGCTCCAATTCCAGTAAAAAGCCTATAAGAAAATACTTGGATTAGTCCTCAAATTATGACTTCAAATTCAAATTGATCCTCAATTTCAAAACTTTTTAATTAATTTTTGAAATACAAACGTCATATTAGTCGAGTCCTTCTGTTAGCTTAATTATTAGTTTAGGCATTAATTCCAAACCGATTATGATTTGTAACATATTCAAAATGTAATGATCACATTGTAAACATCTATATGCTTATTGTATGAACATAAATCCCTCGATCCTAACAAATTTTTTATTTGCCTCATATCTTTTTATTTAAACTAAATTGAACCTCGATATTTTGAGATAAATTGAACAAATTCCATTATGATTTAATGACCCTATAAAGGTTGCAATATATGTTGACGTAGTAATTCATATGTAGAAATGATCGTCCAGCTCAGTTGGTAGAGCGCAATGTTCTTAATCTTGAGGTCATGGGATCGAGTCCCACGGAGGGCATTTCATATTTCGGAGGTCTCCCACGGAAGCTGCTCTCAACCTGGTGTTGGGGGTAGCCTACTATCTACCTCTCCTTACCCCATTACATATAGGAATAAAGGTCAACTAATTTGTAGTAATTCACATGTACTATATTAATGATGTAGTAGTATTTTATATCTATATGTCAAGTTAATAAATAAGTTACAATTTTGAGTTTATTTAGTGAAATAATTTATTTCATGATTTGATTGAAGGTAGGAAGAAACGGAAACATTAATTTCGATGGTATGACTTTTTAGGTAATATAGAGGACGTGGAGGTTGAGCAGAAAGTGACCATTAACTAAAATATTACAAGAAGGGGGAAAAAAGATAAAACATTAGCATATTAGTTACAAAATAATATAGGGTAAACTACATATTTAGTTATTCAACTATTTGTGTAGTTCGATTTTTGTCATTAAACTATTTTAAAAAAAAAACATATATAATTTTACGTTTTAGTTTCATTTTGGTCACTTGTCGTTCAAAATTAACAAAACTGCCGATGTAACAATTTTTTATTTTTTCAATAATGATGTGACATTATCTTATGGTAACATGTCAACATCACCGTTAATTTTTTAACAACGGGTGATAAAATGAAACAAAAATATAACGTTAGGCATGATTTTGAAAAAAAAAACAAATAGTTTGATGACCAAAACGGAATCACATAAATAGTTGAGTGACTAAATATGTAGTTTAACCAATAATATATAGCATATCTTTTTTAAGAAGGTTTACTGTTAAAATTCACATAATATTGAGATAGATTTGTTTTATTTAAAGGTTTGTTTCGATTCAAATCTATATACAATTAAGACTATGCGATTAAAGAGTACTTGTTTTTGTAATAAATATTTATTTTTAAAATAATGTATTTTAAAATAAATTATCTTCCTTAAATAAAATAAATTTTTATTTTTTTAAAATTAATTATATTAATTATATTTTAAAAATAGTTTAAGAATTCATAATTCATATAATTAATCATTTTCAACTGTCATTATTTATTAATTCAAATACAATTGAGTTATTTTTATAAAAAGATCATATAAGATAATATGCTTTTCATCCATACCAATAAGTAGGATAATATCAAATGCAAGCCTCTTAATAGAGTTGTTCAATAGATCCAATCATTAAGCATCTTCACTAGTCGGTCAATCACCACGTTGTATTCTCGTAGGATCCAAAGAAACTCTATAAACTAAGTTTGATTTTGAATAACATAAATGACTTTTACTAGCAAGGACTAACTTCATAACTTCTGCAAAGTTTGATTGCACTTGGAGTCATTCAAAATTGTTGGCTCATACCACTTGAAGACCAATGTAGAGGCTCCACAACTTGACTTGAAGAGACATTTAATAAGTTAGTGATAAACTCCATGAAAATGATGAAGTGGCCTTGTATAATTACGAGCTTAATAAAAAAATAAAATAGGAGAGCAAGTGTAATGCAACAGAGGCTATGATGGCAAGAAAGCGTTCAAAAGGCCAAAATCCAAGAAGGAAAGAAGATTAAAATTGTAGTTTATACTTAACAAAAATGAATGTACCTTTTCTTCATAGGAAAGTTCATCGGAAAAAAATATTGTATGAAGCTGAAGAAGAAGGAAAAAAAATACTATAAATATATGTATTCTAGAGCATGATACTAGTGACTCTAAAATATCATCGGGTGCTTCCATCGTCATTATTATATTTAGATGAGTGGATATTGGATTTGGATTACACCTACCATATGTCTCCTAATCAAGAGTGATTCTTCAATTTAGCAGAACTAAATGTAAGAGTTGTTTATATGGGCAATGACAATGGTTGTAAAATTGTTGGGATTGGTTCAATCTAATTGAAGAACTAAATGTAGGAGTTGTTTATATGGGCAATGACCTGAAATCTCTTACTCGGGTAAGAGTTGTCTAACTTCTGTTGTTGTTGCTATAACATAGTCTTACTCGCTCTTACCTCCATGTATGTTTCCGTTTCTTTCTTTTATGAGTTTCACTACCTTCACTTTCGTTTGGGTCCGGATCGATTACAAGTTAAGTGTTTAATTGTCCATGCAGTAATGATAGTATCTTGTATCTGAATCGGAGACTCACTTTTTCTATATAATGGAGCAGAGGATCGTAACATGCCATTGAAAGGAATGATCAAAACGGAACCACGTGAATAATCGAGTGACTAAATACGTAAGTTACCTAATAATAATAACGCATTAAATTCAGTAGAAATAAGGGGGAGAAAAGCAGCTGGATGCGGCGGCTTCGGCAGTTAAGCCAGCTGGAGACTGGAGCTGCTTGACACTAATTAATACAAGAGGCTAACTAAATTGGCTTTTAAATTTTAGACAGATTTGCAAATACAATCTATGACGTCCAACTTAATTTAATACAAATTGTAGTTTTGTAAAATTAGTTAACCTCCCTACAATCCCAACTAAGTACCAATTTTGGTTAATATCAAAAGAAAATCAAAGAATGATATTGAAACTTGGAGTAGTTAAATTGCAAGGGGTAGATATTGACATCAACCAACGTGGCTAACAAGAAAGAATTAAATAAAATAATAATTAATTAAAGCAGTATTTTGCTGTTGAGAAGTAGGAAAGTTTTAGGCTTTTATTCCTTCTACATTTATTAAGCTGCTCTCATGTCCCAACGAAGCCTGTCTCCGTCCATGCTTGATCTGTATATATATATATATATATATATATATATATTGCTATTTAGGATAAATTACCTATTTGATCATTCACTTATTTTTGTATTTCTATTTTGGTCAGCCAATGGATTTTCAAAATCATAACTTGTATTGTGTTTTGTTTTTGTTTTGATCACCTGTTATTAGGCTTGACCGATGACTTAATGTAAATGATTATATGACATGGTATAATAACATATTTAGTTTTCAAAACTTACACATCGTATCAAATTGATTTTAATTTGGAATGATTCAAAAACATCTCTAATACTTAAAAATTCTATAAATTCGGTTCTCATTTTAATTTGAAATAATGTATTAATTTATTAATATTTTTGAGGATGCAAGCCTACTTTCAAAATTGACTAAGTTGAATGCCCCTTTTCTATTTTAGTTTCATCATTGTAGATCATCCTCAAGTTTTCTATAGCTTCCATCAATGTCTTCACACTACTGTTCATCCTTCCTTTGTTTTGTTTTCTATAGCTTCCATTACTAGGAAAACTCTAAACAGATTGTGTTGAACAAGCAAGGTGTATTCCTTTATTGACTTACACATACTTATATACATGTTGTAGCTCACATTACTCATAACTGTAAAATTAACAGACTCTAACAATCTAGCTTAACAACTTAACAAACTAACTAACTTCAACACCATAGCCACTAGGACACATACACGTGTACCTCTAATTATAATAGTCTAACATTCCCCCTACTTGTTCTAGCTTTCTTGTTTGTTCTTAAAAACAGATACAACACATATTCTGCTGCGAAAATCTTCAAAAGCAACTCTGGTTAATGGTTTGGTGAAGCCATCAGCAATCTGATGTGCAGCTGGAACATAGTTAACATGAATCTGCCTGGCAGCCACCTTCTCCCGAATAAAGTGCACGTCCAAATCTATGTGTTCTGACTGTGCATGATAAACTAAATTAGCACTCATTGCCACTGCACCAATATTATCACACCAAACTACTGGTTATTGTAGCTGCTGTAACCCTAGATCAGCAAGTAAGGCACTCACCCATGTTACTTCAGCAGCAGTGTCAGCAATACACTTGTACTCAGCTTCCATCGTTGATTGGACACTGATTTCTGTTCTTAGAGCTCCATGCAACAAGACATCGACCAAAAAACACTCTATAACTAGAGATAGATCTCATGTCATCAACATTAGCTCCCTAATCCGCATCAGCAAACGCTGAAATTATCAACCCTGCATAAACCGACTGAAACAACAGTCCATAGTCCACAGTTCCAGCCAAATACCTCAGTATTCTTTAAAATGCAAGCATATGTTTCTCGTGGTACATGCATATAATGTGCCATATTCCCAGTACTGTAAGCTAAGTCTGGTCACATGTGACACACATATAACAGGGAACCAACGATGTTTCTGTATTCACTAGGGTTCATCAATAATTCACCCTCAACCCTCGAAAGCTTAGAGGACACCACCATTGGTGTAGTGCA